CTGCTCCTTCAGGTGTCTCTCAGGTAGACCCCCCTGTGCCTGCGCCTGTTGAGGCCACTGGTGACTCCGCCCCTGCTGCGAGTGGTGCTGTCCCGGGGGGTGCGGAGCTTGGGGGTGCTGAGTCTGAGGGCGCAGAGCGTGTGGAGCCTGGAGGTGCTACGTCTCGGGGTACTGCGTCTGGAGGTGCTGCGTCTGGGGGTGCTGAGCCTGTGTGTGCGGAGCCTGGGAGTGCTGAGTCTGGGGGTGAGTTGCCTGAGGGTTGTGAGACTGGTGTTACGCGGTCTCCTTCGAGTAGCCGTCTTCGTCCGCGTGTGCCCCTCACCTCCCAGCAGCTGCACGACTGGTACGGTCGCCGTCGGCGTCCCACCTCTGCACCTCAGGGCTCTCCTGCTGGAGGTTCTTCTACTGGAGCTGCTGGGGCTCGTGGTGGTGCTGCTGGAGGTACTGGAGCTACTGGCGGTGCTGGAGCTGCTGAGGGTACTGGAGCTGCTGGAGGTGCTGGAGGTGCTGGAGCTACTGGAGGTGCTGGAGCCGCTGGGGGTGCTGGAGCTGCTGGAGCTGCTGGGGGTACTGGAGCTGCTGGAGGTGCTGGAGCTGCTGGTGGCACTGCTCAGCCGCGCCTGTTCTTTGCTCCGCCGTCTCCGTCATCTCAGCCACCACCTGACTCTGCACTTCGCCAGGTTCTCAGTCTTCCCTCGTCTACTGGTCTTCCGTTACAGCCTGGCTCCCCGATGCCTGCTCCTTCTCCATACACAGAGCAGCCTGGTGGCCTTGCAGAGCGTCGTGAGCCTGTGTCGCGTCCTGTCTCCCCTGTCAGTTCCGGTCGTCGTGTTCCTCGTCAGTGCCAGCCGGCTGTCTCCGGCCCTCCCCTTGTAGTTCGTCGTCCTTCCTCTCCTTCACCGCGTGTTCCTCTGCCGCCTCCCCCTGCGTCCTCTCTGCCTGTCGTTGCTGACCCTACGTCTGACCGGTTTTGTGCTGACCACTCTACTGTCACGCGTCTGCTTGCCACTGTTGTCACTGACCCGTCGTTTGAGTCTACTGCTGCGTCTGCCTTAGTCACTGAGCTTGTTGCCTTTGCTGCTCACTGTCGTCTCGACTACGCCGCCGGTCTTGTTGCTGAGTCTGCGTCTGTCTGTCCTCCGTCCGTCGGGGTTGAGTGTGCTCTTGGCACGGACGTCCTTGAGGACAGGCAGGAGGACCTTGAGTGTCTTGCAGCCGCTGCGCCTCATCTCGTATCCATGCTGCTTGCCCCTGAGGGAGACCCGGATGCACCAGACATCCCTACCCCGCGCTCTTACGCTGAGGCGATCGCGGGTGAGTACTCCTCTCAGTGGCAGACAGCCATGGACGCAGAGATGGCATCCTGGAAGTCCACAGGCACCTACGTCGACGAGGTTCCCCCTCCTGGGGCGAACATTGTCAGTGGCATGTGGATTTTCAGGGTGAAGCGGCCGCCAGGTTCTCCGCCTATCTTCAAGGCTCGTTACGTGGCTCGAGGCTTCAGTCAGCGAGAGGGAGTTGACTTCTTCCAGACCTTCTCCCCCACCCCGAAGATGACCACTCTTCGGGTGCTGCTGCACGTTGCCGCTCAGCGTGACTACGAGCTTCACTCTCTTGACTTCAGCACAGCCTTCTTACAGGGCAGCCTGCACGAGGAGATTTGGCTGCGCCGCCCTCCTGGCTTCACTGGGTCGTTCCCTCCTGGTACCCAGTGGAGCCTCCGGCGGCCGGTCTACGGTCTCCGCCAGGCGCCACGTGAGTGGCACGACACACTGAGGACGACACTTGCGGCTCTTGGGTTTGCTCCGTCGACTGCTGACCCGTCGCTGTTTCTGCGCACCGACACTTCGCTGCCGCCGTTCTACGTTCTCGTGTACGTCGACGACTTGGTCTTTGCCACTGCTGACACTGAGGCTCTCGCCCTGGTGAAGTCGGAGCTGCAGAAGAGACACACGTGCACAGACCTGGGTGAACTGCGCAGCTACCTTGGCTTGCAGATCACCCGGGACAGAGCACGCCGCACCATCACACTGACTCAGTCACACATGGTGCAGCAGGTCCTTCAGCGCTTCGGTTTCACCTGGTCCTTAGCACAGGCCACTCCTCTGGCTACAGGTCACTCGCTCTCAGCTCCACCTTCGGACGAGTCCGTAGAGCCGAGTGGTCCTTACCCAGAGTTAGTAGGCTGCCTCATGTACCTGATGACTTGCACTCGTCCTGACCTTGCGTACCCTCTTGGCCTTCTGGCTCGCTACGTGGCTCCTGATCGGCACCGAAAGGTGCACATGGATGCTGCCAAGAGGGTACTACGCTACTTGTGCAGTACATCGGGCATGGGGCTCGTGCTTGGAGGACGGGGTGACGTTGTCCTCACTGGTCACTCGGACGCCTCTTGGGTTGACGACCAGGCTACGCAGCGGTCGTCACAGGGTTACACATTCAGCCTTGGCTCTGGTTCAGTTTCTTGGCGTTCTACACGCTCGTCTTCAGTTCTCGGCTCCAGTTGTGAGGCAGAGATCTACGCCACAGCCATGGCTGCACAGGAGCTTCGCTGGCTCACCTACCTGCTAACTGACTTGGGAGAGCGGCCTCGTTCTCCTCCAGTGCTGTACGTCGACAACAAGGCCGCCATTGCCTTGTGTCAGGAGCACAGACTGGAGCACAGAACGAAGCACATCGCTCTCCGTTACTTTCTTGCTCGAGAGCTGCAGCAGCGTGGCCAGTTTCGTCTTACCTACGTGGCCACTCGGGCCAACACTGCTGATATATTCACCAAGGCACTTCCGCCTGGTGATCATCAGCGTTTCTGCACTTTGTTAGGCCTTGTGCCCACGCTTCCTCACTTGCTGTAGGCTTTGTTTGTACCATGATTTATATGTATTCCTGCATGCTTGTTCTTGTAGGTAGATTTCACTGTACTGTTGTTGTTACATATATATCTCTGCATGTGAACTGGCCTTGTGGCCTTCTTGCTTGTGCTCAGACTGCGTGGTGACGTTGTGATCCACCCTGAGCTTGCTTTGCACTTCCTGACTGGTCTTGTGACCCTCTGTTCTCCCCCACTCTGCCTATGGGGGTGTGTCAAACATATGTATATCTATGTTATAGTTTGGGTAGGCTTAGTGGGGTACACACTGTGGGGTACAACCCCTTAGGTTCATTTTTCTTTGTACCAACCCCCTCGATAGTCGTCATCACTTTTAGCCTACGATTATGACAGAAGTTTGACTTCGGAAGACTCCATCACTTCGGTGCCACATGGCAGCACAAGAAGAATCGAGACTGAAGGAGAATTCGCTTCGGTGAAATTCGAGTTCCGAATTTCACCCCTTTGAAATGTTACTCGAACATTCGAGAGTGTAGCGACTCGAGGTTACATGTGCGACTCGATGCATTGCAGTTCATAAAAATTTGTTTGCTTTGTATTGCATGGAATATACTGAACATTGTGAATCACTTTGCATGAAGTACATTCGAACACAAATTCCAGAGAGTTTCCAATCCTTCAACATAGAGCATAGCTTTCACATTAGTAGCCATATCTCGCTCGATACTTAGGCGATCGAGGTGATCCACGGCCCGTTGGAAAGCTAAGACAGTGCTCTACTGATTAGTACAAATTCCAGTTCCTGCAAAGTAGAGGAGAAGCCTCTACAACATTCCAGTAATACTTGCCCCGTTCAATTATGTTTTGATAAATTAGTAGTAGCCGCCTTAATCTTGAGGAACTTCAAATTATTAGTGGGTTTCTCAATGTATACGTCATTTCGTCAAGAAGTACTGTGGGTTTTTGCTACGTGTCAACAATATGCCTTTCTAACCTGGTGTAATCTGTGCGTCTGCAAGATAATTTGTTCAAATCTTGACTCTTATCGCGTACATTGCATACTGACACCTCTGTACCAATTCCCGTACAGTGCACTGCACGCCATGCAAGATTCCGCACTGCGGTGAAGTAGATATGTCTCGGCTGCTTGCACCACAAAAACATGACCAGCCCGCGTCAAAGCTTTCCGTACTTTTTGTCGGTATTTCTCGATTTCCGTTTCAGCCGTGCGGCCTGAGGAGGAATGAGAGAATAAGACACCAACAAGAATAAGACCCGCCCTAAGGTCTTTTGGACTTCGCCATGACAGCGTGTCGCACTCTTCCAGCCATTTGACAGTTTCCGGGACGGCCGCGACAGCAGCAATTGGCGAAGCGACAGTTTCGTTCAGAGATGCCACGACGACATTCAGCGGAACCACTGAAACAGTCAGCGAAACGACACCTTCAGCATCAGAGGCCCTCCGGTCGCTACCCTCACGTTTCCCGGCTCTTTCTCGTCTTCTCTATTATATTTTTCGCATCGCTCTTTCCTGACGGTCCTGTACGCGCCGTTTCAGCGCGTAGGACCTCGTGGGCCAAGAAGTTTCGGCCGGTTCGCGTGCGCGGGCCGCTGCCAAAGCTGATTGGCGGGATGGGAGACAAGAAGAATCGACTCGCCAAGACCACCCGCCGGTAAATGTTCTCAAAAGGCCTCAGCTGAACTTGGTTGGCCTTAGTTTGTCCTATCCAGTATCTTACTTTGTCCCAGTTTAGTCGAAGATGCAGGTAGATCTTAGCTGATCTAAGCCGCGTATCTCCCTCCCCCTCTCCCCCTCTCTCCCCGCCTCCCATAAGTTAATCCTCCTTTTTCATATGACCAGGTACGTGGTTAAGGCCACAGGGCATAGCGTGTAACCCCAGTGGGCGAGGGCCGTACGTGAGTGATGGGCGGATAATACCAAGCTGACTTCTGAGTCGACTCAAAAGTCCGTACGTGAGTGATGGGCGGATAATACCAAGCTGACTTCTGAGTCGACTCAAAAGTCCGTACGTGAGTGATGGGCGGATAATACCAAGCTGACTTCTGAGTCGACTCAAAAGTCCGTACGTGAGTGATGGGCGGATAAAAACGCCCACCACCCTGCTTACCGCAACCACCTCCCCTTCCTCCCCTGCCTCCCCCCGTTTTTCAAATGACCAGGTACGTGGGTCAGGCCACAGGGCCTGAGAGCATAGCATGGGACCCGAGCGGGCGAGGGCCGTACGTGAGTGTGAGCGACGGGCGCATTCTCAGGAGGAAGGCGGACGACAGCGACTGGGAGGAATTCACTTATGCTTCACCCCACAGGTACTGGAAAGTATCATTCGTTCGACCTGATGTGTGTTTTTGTGGGACCTCAATATTCGAGTGGGCGAGGGCCGTACGTGAGTGTGAGCGATGGGCGCAAATCCTCAGAAGCAAGGTGGACGACAGCGACTGGGAGGAGTGCACCTTTGCCTCGCCGCACAGCTACTGCACACTAGCTGCCGCGCAGGTACCCTTGCTGCTGCACAAGTACCCTTGCTGCTACACAGGTACTGGGAAGCTTTCTTGGTTTGAGGTTTGTGAGGAGCCTCAAGAAGCGAGTGGGAAGAGGGGGAGGGTGGAGGGGCGAGGGCCGTACGTGACTGTGAGCGACAGGCGCATTCTCAGGAGGAAGGCGGACGACAGCGACTGGGAGGAGCTCGCATATGCCTCGCCCCACAGCGACTAGTTTCCTCGGTTCTACGTGTTGTGAAATTTTGTGGGGAAATCGATTTTCATATGGGGAAGAGTCATACGTGAGTGTGAGTTTTTTTCCTTGCCCGTCCATCTTTCCCACCCTCGTTACTGTCACAATCTTTTGCAAGGACCTCGGCAATGTGCGATTCGCGCACCGCGAAGCTCGCACTAGAGGACAAATGCGGCCGGCCGGTGGGAATGGCATTTCACCCCACCACGGGGGACCTTTACTTTGCTGACGCCTACTACGGGCTCTTCAAGGTGAGAAACACTCTGTCCTCGACATAAGAAGTCTCATGAGCCTCAGTGATTTTGCACGTGTCAATTGGGGATGGTACACTGGTGTATGAGTAGAGTAGGAGGGCGATATGGCATGGATGGCATGGATAACATGGATGGCATGGATGGCATGGATGGCATGGATGGCATGGATGGCATGGATGGCATGGATGGCATGGATGGTATGGAACGCATGGATGGTATGGAACGCATGGATGGTATGGATGGCGCATGATCATGTGTATGTATCCATAATCCATGTGCTGCATGTATCCATAATCCATGTGCCTAATAGATCTGCATGTATCCATAATCCATGTGCCTAATAGATCTGCATCACTCTGTTTGTGCATGCCTTTTTCCCGTCGGTTTCATTTCTCCTCTTTGCCTGTTCTTCTGTTCCTCACGTAGAACCGCAGTCTCACCAGGAATCATGATCTTGTGATCATTGGCATTCTTGCCAGGTGAGCAGCAGCGGCGGGCAGGCAACGAAGCTGGTAGATGTGGTGGAAGGGACGCGCATGATGATGTGCAACGACCTGGACATTGATGCCGATGCTAAAGTGGTCTACTTCACCGACTCCAGCTCCCGATGGGCCCGCAGGTGAGGTGGGGAACAGGTGGGCTCGCACGGGAGGGACCCGTGAAGGGTGTAGACACATATCCGCTTAGTGTATGTGTCTTGTGAATCTGCTCTCAGGGACTTCCTCCCACTGTTGCTGGAGGGGCGCAAGGATAGCAGGTTTATGAAGTGTGACATCGGGACGGGCAAGACCACTGCTGGTGTAGATTAAGTCATGACGTTCAAATTCATGTCTGCCACATGTCTGCCACATGTCTGCCACATGTCTGCCACATGCCTGCCACTTATGTACACCCATCTGCTCTCAGGGACTTCCTCCCTCTGCTGCTGGAGGGGCGTAAGGACGGGCGGTTCATGAAGTACGACATTGGCACAGGCAAGACCACTGTTCTTGTGGACAAGGTCGCGTTCGCAAACGGAGTCGCCCTTTCACAGGACAAGAATTTTGTCGTCTTCTGTGAAACGACCTACCTCAGGTGAGCTGCAATGGTGGGCCTGTTGTTGTCTGCTTGTGTGATCATCAGCTTTTGAGGCTCCTCGAAAGTAGTTATCAGGTTCTCAGGTTGGCTCCTCGAAAGTAGTTATCAGGTTCTCAGGTTGGCTCCTCGAAAGTAGTTATCAGGTTCTCAGGTTGGCTCCTCGAAAGTAGTTATCAGGTTCTCAGGTTGGCTCCTCGAAAGTAGTTATCAGGTTCTCAGGTTGGCTCCTCGAAAGTAGTTATCAGGTTCTCAGGTTGGCTCCTCGAAAGTAGTTATCAGGTTCTCAGGTTGGCTCCTCGAAAGTAGTTATCAGGTTCTCAGGTTGGCTCCTCGAAAGTAGTTATCAGGTTCTCAGGTTGGCTCCTCGAAAGTAGTTATCAGGTTCTCAGGTTGGCTCCTCGAAAGTAGTTATCAGGTTCTCAGGTTGGCTCCTCGAAAGTAGTTATCAGGTTCTCAGGTTGGCTCCTCGAAAGTAGTTATCAGGTTCTCAGGTTGGCTCCTCGAAAGTAGTTATCAGGTTCTCAGGTTGGCTCCTCGAAAGTAGTTATCAGGTTCTCAGGTTGGCTCCTCGAAAGTAGTTATCAGGTTCTCAGGTTGGCTCCTCGAAAGTAGTTATCAGGTTTATTTTGAGGCGCCTCAAAATGAAATCCGCGTGCATTGAGGTGTATTTTGAGGCGCCTCAAAATACACCTCAATGCACGCGGATTTCATACGGAGAGGATTATTACAGCTTGGAAGTGTTCGTGTAACTTGCAAAAGTTACTGGTGCGCGCGCGGTTACATCAACGAATTGGTTGACGAAGATCTTTTCGAGGGCTGACTTTGCACCCTGGGTGTACCCCATTTGCTTAGCTGGCCGAGTGACTTGTCACTCTGGGTAGTTGGTTGTACATTTGTAGATCTCGAGGGCAGTTGCTAGCTACTTAGCCTGCTTCTGTCCAAACTCTTTCTTTTGTGGATCTGGTAGCTTACTGATGAAGGCTTAGCGAGTTGGAGACCCGTGAGCCGAAACTAGTTTGAGCTGTAAAGATTCTCGTTAGTGAAGGGTTTTTAAGGTTTCTACTGATCGTTTTTCCAGGAAAGAATTTCTGTTTCGTTTCCTTTTGTTGCTTTAAGCGTCACTCTTTAGAATTGCTGCTTTTCCACTATGAGCGAAGACCCTTGGGACATTGAATGGTTTCCAACTGAAGAGGAAGACGCCGATTCTGAAGAACGCAACTCGTTGAAAAGGCAGCGTAGGAGTGGAAACAAGTCGCGTTCTGCTCGAAAGGCTTCCGGGCAGCGGCAGACCGGCAACAAATTTCCGCAACTGGCGTTAACCTACGAACCGATTCTACGAAGTGAGCAACCACTTGGTCCTCCCGCTGGACCGTCGCGAATTCGTCCTACCGTCATGGCGGAACCCACTGACGCGACCCCCATCCAAGAACCTTTCAAGGGATGGCTTGCGACTGCAGTGAAGAATTTCCGGGACGATTTCAAGACTCTGCTTAAGGCTAAATCTAAGCTGAAGAAGATGAAGAAACTCGACGCTGAAGGAACGATTCTGCACAGCATCCGTACTAAAGCGGTCGATTTCCAGACGAAGATTGACTCTGTCAAGGAGAAATCCAAGGCGTCCGTTGCTGAGATCCATTTGGCGAATCAGAAGCGGATTCAGGCAGAGTTCATCGCCTCGAAAGCACTGGAGGTTGAGGAGATCGCGAAGATGGCTAACTCGCGTGTCACGACTCTGGCTACAAGGATGGAGGATTACATACAGGGGCTGAACGCGGATCCTGATTTGGTGGTGTCTGACGTTGCCAAGGAGAAATTTCGTTTACTCAAGGGACGCTGCATCGAGAAAGCCCAATCCGACATCGCTGCTGCCAAGGATGACCTTACCATCCGGGAGTTGGAAAGGCAGCGTAAGATAGCTGCTGAGGATTTGAAGAAAGCTGTTGCGTCTGAGGAGGTGCAGGAGATGGAGTTAGAACCTGCGTTAGAGGAGATTCTCGCGAAGCAGGTTAAGAAGATTGAAGACAAACTTCGCAAGGAAATCACTGTGAAGGTTGAGGCCAGTCTTACGAAGAAGCTGCAGAAGAATCTCTCTCTTAAGGAGCAAGACCCTGCGCAGGCCGCTGCTGCTAATCCGAAGCAGAGGAGTACGGCGGGAAAGCAGAAAAGTCAGGAGAATGGCAACGCTGCACCTGCTGGATCCAAGCCGAGGAGGAAGCGTGGTGGGAAGAAAAAGAATCAGAAGCAGAATTCCAGCACCGACAAAGGCAAGCTGGCGGGAGGCCAAGTCAAATCTGATGCGGCCAAGGGACCAAAAAACGGCGGAGGCGGCCCCGAAAAAGGGCCGCACAAGAAGAACTAACCAGCCATGAGCTGGCCCTCCGTTGGTTTGGACGGCTGACGCCTCGACAAGCTGCGTTGCGCGTCCGTAACCGCGGAGTTCACAACCTCAGCGCCAAAATCTTATCTTCGGATGAGAAGACAGCGTTGGGGTTGGGATTGAAGTTCATCCCCACGCCCACCGTTTCCCTTTCGGCCGGAATTGAGCTTGATCAGCTTTTCCGGCAGATCTCGTTACATTTTTTCTTCAAGGATGCGGACGGTCCACCTAGGGATTCACGGTTTCGTGTGCGTAACCCGACGTGGCTGCCCGATCGGATGGTGATTCCGGAGCAGGTCTTCAAGGACTCGTCCTCTGACTTGTCCGTCTTGTTGAAGGCATCTCGGCCTGACCGACGTCGGAATCTTTCAGCCGGCGTTCGGAAGGCTTTGCGCACCATCGCTGCGGATCGAGACGTGGTGATTAAACCGGCTGACAAGAATGTTGGGATTACGGCGATGGACCGGGGACATTACATTCGGTTGTGCATGGAGCACCTAGGTGACAGCACGACTTACTCCCTGGTCTCTCACGATCCTACCACTGAAGTCTACCGGAAGCTGCGTGAACTGCATAGCGTTTGGGGCCCTGCTTTTCCCGAAACTTTGTGGAAGTACTTTTTCAATCAGCCGCCTGGAGGATGGAAACCCGCGGCTTTCTACATTCTGCCGAAGCTGCATAAGAAGGATCTCGTGGGACGCCCGATCGCCGCCTCACACTCATGGGTGACTTCTAACGTTAGCCGTTGGCTCGATGCTGAATTATGACCGTGGGTTTTGCAGCAGCAGACATATCTCCGCGATTCCCTCTCGCTACTCTTGAAGCTGGAAGAGACCGCCTTCCCGAAAGGGATCTTCTTAGCCACCTACGACGTTACTTCTCTCTACCCCAGTATCCCATTAAGGAGAGGTATCGACGCGGTGAGTAGCATTCTTCAGAGTGGGAAATATCATAATCACCTCCCGGTCATTGCCCTGCTGGAGTGGGTGATGATGAACTCGATTGTTGAGTTCGACGGCCAATTGTACCTGCAGCGACAAGGGACTGCTATGGGAACTCCTGCAGCAGTATGTTTCGCGGTGTTGTTCATGAGCCGTTTGGACGAGGTGCTGAGACGCAGGTGGTCCGGGACGCAGCCGTTGTGCCACGTGAGATACATCGACGATGGCTTCATTGTTTGGCCAGGTTCTCGGAACGAGTTGGAGTGCTACCTCAGTACCTTCAACGAATTGGATCCCAACATCAAGTTGACGTGGCACATCTCGGACTCCTCGGCAGACTTTCTTGACATGGTCATCTTCAAAGGACCACGTTTTGCCGAGAAGGATAACTTGGATCTGAAGACTTTTCAGAAACCCATGAACAGTTACTTGTACCTGCCGTTTTCTTCATACCACCCGCGACACTGCAAGGTCAGCTTCATCCGTGCAGAACTGAAGCGTTACTTACTACGTTCGACCTCTGCCAAAGCTTTCCTAGCCTCTAAGCATGCGTTTTTCCAACGGCTTAGAAGTCGCGGATATCCTGGAGACTTCCTTCTACCCATCTTTCGGAGTGTTTTCTTTCGAAACCGCCCTCTCCTTTTGGAGACCACTGCTGCGCGCCAAGCTCTCAAGCTCAACTCTCTCCCCCATCGCGGACCCCTAGTCTTGAAGACTCTGTTCACCCCGGTGACAGCCCGTCTCAGGCTGGGGGTCCTTTTGAGGCGCCTCAAAATACACCTCAATGCACGCGGATTTCATACGGAGAGGATTATTACAGCTTGGAAGTGTTCGTGTAACTTGCAAAAGTTACTGGTGCGCGCGCGGTTACATCAACGAATTGGTTGACGAAGATCTTTTCGAGGGCTGACTTTGCACCCTGGGTGTACCCCATTTGCTTAGCTGGCCGAGTGACTTGTCACTCTGGGTAGTTGGTTGTACATTTGTAGATCTCGAGGGCAGTTGCTAGCTACTTAGCCTGCTTCTGTCCGAACTCTTTCTTTTGTGGATCTGGTAGCTTACTGATGAAGGCTTAGCGGGTTGGAGACCCGTGAGCCGAAACTAGTTTGAGCTGTAAATATTCTCGTTAGTGAAGGGTTTTTAAGGTTTCTACTGATCGTTTTTCCAGGAAAGAATTTCTGTTTCGTTTCCTTTTGTTGCTTTAAGCGTCACTCTTTAGAATTGCTGCTCTTCCACTATGAGCGAAGACTCTCAGGTTGGCTCCTCGAAAGTAGTTATCAGGTTCTCACTTGAACTGATTCTAACTTGGCCTGCTCCTGCTTGCATTGCGTCTCCTTGTTTTCCTCCTTTCGCCTTTTCTGCATGCTCTGTCCTCATGTCGTATCCCGTATCCGTGCTTCTTTCTGCTCCTCCCTCTCCTCCCGTCTCCTCTCTCCGCTCCACTTCCGTTTTCCCCTTCCTCTCTCCCTCTTGCTTCCTCTTCACTCTCCCTTCCATATCAGGTGTCACCGGTATTGGATCCGAGGCCCGAAGACTGGAAAGAAGGAGCTATTTGTGAAGCTCCCTGGCTACCCTGACAATCTCAGCCTCAATCCCAGGGGGAGGTTCTGGATCGCACTCAACTCGCGCAATTCACTGGTAACAGGTAAGCCCTTTGGGACTAAGCTGTTTTGCACTAGTCACTCTCGTTCTTCATACTTGTTGCATGGCCGTCTGGACTTTCTGGGTGTCATGTGGTTTGGATACTGATCGGCAATGGATTGGCTCTTCTTGTGTCCAAGCACAGCCATGTGTGCATCGGGGCTGAGTGTGGCCTTACCGTGATGTTGCGAGGAGGTGAGGTAGGTGATTTCTGAGTATGGCCTCAAAAATTGATGTTGCAAGGAGGTGAGGTAGGTGTTACCACACCCATGTATAAAGATGGCTAACAGGTGTTTGACACTGGTAGTCTCTTGATTTCACAAGACCAGATACTCGTTAAGGGTGTGCTATGTCCAGCGCGTGGTCTCTCGTTCTGTTCAAAATTCAGCCTGTCATCACTCTGCACCGCATTACAACCTACTGGGACTACTAACACCGTGGACAGCCTGTCTTTGGGTGTGAACGTTGACATGCCTTCCCTGGAAGTGCCGCACCCCTAGGTTTGTTGTCCCTTGGCACACCCAACCCCTTTATTCCTTTCCACTCCCTTTCTCCGCTCCATGTGGTTTGGCTTGGCAGCATTACTTATGCGGACTCCTATTATTCGAGGTGCAGTGTTGAAACAGCAGGCAGGGTACAACTTAGCTGTCGGAACTTCAGAACGCCTAGCAAGTGGAATATTGGTAGAGGTGGATACAAATGGAAAAATAACTGATCTTCTTGAGGACAAAAAAGGCAAAAAGATTAAGCAGCTCAGTGAGGTGGTAGAAAGAGAAGGCAAACTATGGTTAGGATCTGTTGTCAATGACTTCGTTGGAACAGTCAATTATAATCCAAGGTAACTTCCTAGCAATGGCAATCAGTTGTGTTTAACTTCATACTTCAATCTCGTAGGAAAATAAGTTTGTCTCCCGTGGTAGCGACTCACTCTGTGTAGCGTATGCCGTTGAGTCTAGCACCGACATCTCTCTGGCCGACCAATTCGTAAATTACGAAACTCGGACCGCTCGCGACTCGATGTCACGAAACATATCAATCACCCACAGCGTCCTCCCAATCCCCCTACCCGAATGCATGCACCGTTTCAATTCCACATCCTCCCCGCCAAATTTCACTTGCAGCTTTCCAAAAACTGAAATTCGATTGATGTCGGAGGTGAGGCGGAACAGACCAGCTTTCACAACCATCGAAGATTGGGAACGGGAACTTTGGTGGAAACGTTGGGATTGGCAACCATCAAATTCACGCCAGTATTTCATTGTTGCCTCACAATAGCATCGCCTCCGCAAACGGAAGCGCATCTAATCTTGTCCATTTGCCGCACTGCCAACTGGACTATCATTGTGCAAATAACAAGTGAAGCATCGTGGCCTATGATCGAGAATTGAGACATTGTAAACGACACAAATAAGTACGTTTCATCGCATCACAGTTCCTGTGATAACGTCAGGAACTTATCTGGAGCTTCCAGTCTCCACATCGTTTGGTATCCTCAAAGCAGACATACTCCCTTCCTACCTGATCGTTATAAGGCGCTTAAAATATCAAGTAGACGCACCACCTTTCTACTGAATACCTCATGGCGAGCCGAATTCGCGGGCCGCTGCTCCTAGCATGCTTGATCGTTGCGCTAGTGGCGCTGGGAAGTCTTGGGAATGCCGAGGCGGGGCTGACAAAGCGGTGGTCCAAAAATTTCAAGGCTGCGCGAGTGAACCTTCCTCCTGCAAAGCTCTTCCCAAGGACGGACAAAAAGAACCGACTCGCTCGAGCCACCAAGAGGTAAGCTTCAGTCTGTTTGTATGATCCAAAACTTAACTTCCCTTTTGGAAAGCACAGCAAGAAGAAAAATGCATAAACTAGTCTTCCCCTAACCTTTGCGCTCCTCTTGTCTGGCTTGAGGTCATTAAGCGTTGAGTTGCACCTCTGGTTTTTCGTATGGTTTTATCATCACTACAAGGGTCACAAGAAACTGTATAATCAACCTGCATAAACCCCTGTGTGTCCATCCCGCCACAACACCTCCTATCTATTCACCCGACCACCCTTTCCCACAAACCCAGATCTCTTATTCGAGCGCCAGAATCCGCAAACACGTGAATCCGCGAACACGTGAAAGATTCTGCGTCACTTGTAATCTACCTTCATTCTCCACCACTTCCATCGTCCCGTGTACCTTTTCCTTCACCCTTACGAGGTGGGTGACCTCCATTCACCACCTTGCGGTCCCCGGTCCCCCTCACTCCCCACATACAAGCCCCGCGCTCGCAGGCCCAGGCTGAACAGCGTGGGACCTTCGAGGCGCCTCAGAATCTGTGCCATGTGACAAGGCCACGAGGTGACTATGTAAGTCGACTGAAAAACAACCCTTTTCGTCCCCCGCTCTCCCCAGGTACGAGGGTGAGATGACAGGCCCGGAGAGCATTGCGTGGGACCCCAACGGCAAGGGCCCATACGTCAGCTTCAGCGACGGGCGAATCATGCGACGCACGGATGATGACAGCGCCTGGGAGGAGTTCACGTACGCGTCGCCGCTGCGAACTGACGCGAAATGTAACTCGAGGAAAACCAGACCGGAGCTGGAAAACACCTGCGGGCGGCCGCTTGGCCTGGCGTTTCACCCCACTACCGGGGACCTCTATTTCGCGGATGGGTATTTCGGCCTGTACAAAGTCAGCGCCGCGGGAGGGCAGGCTACGAAGCTCGTCTCCGCACTCGACGGGAGGGAATTTATGATGACGAATGACCTAGATATTGACGCGGACGCGAATGTCGTGTATTTCACGGACGGCAGCTCGCGTTGGTACCGGCGAGATTTTCTGCCGCTCACACTGGAAGGAAGAAAGGACGGACGGTTCATGAAGTACGACATCGCGAGTGGCGTGACGACGGTGATTGACGAAAAAGTGGCGTTCGCTAACGGCGTGGCGATTTCGCAGGATAAGACGTTTGTGGTGTACTGCGAAACGACCTATCTCAGGTGCGCTGCTGGCTGCTGATGTGTGCGATTCTGGCTGCTTCTCAAAACCGTCTTGCCTGATTGTTTTTATAGAGAGTGTACATGCCAGTTCACGTACACCTCCTTATTTCATCCTCTTCGTTCTTTCAGGTGCCACCGGTACTGGATCCGAGGCCCAAACACTGGGAAAAAGGAGGTGTTTGTGAATCTGCCGGGTTACCCTGACAACCTTAGTCTCAACCCCAGAGGAAGGTTTTGGATCGCACTCAACTCGAGGAGGTCTCCCACAGCAAGTACGTCCTGGTGTTGACAATTGTGAAACCTGATTTCACCCCTCAGCACCCACCCCTCAATATTCCGTCTCATCTCATCCTATTGCTCTTCATAGTCACCAGTGTGTGTGGCTCAGTTTTGTACCTGTTCGTCTGTGTGTCCTCATGCAACAAGTATGCTTGAAGCTCGTCCCAATCATGCAATCCGGTTTCTCCCTTCTCTTCATACCTCCACTCCCACAGCTGTTGCATCCCAAACCCCTTTCATCCGGGAGACATTTGTGGAAAACAAGCTTGGGTACAAGATTGTGAAGGCCACGCAGGACCAGAGGGCCAGTGGCATTGTGGTGGAGGTAGATGCGGATGGCAAAATCACCGACCTTCTGGAGGACAAGAACGGAAAGGTGGTGAAGGATGTGAGCGAAATTGTGGAGCATGATGGGAAACTGTGGCTGGGCTCTGTTATTGAAGACTATATTGCCACCCTCAAGTGGCCATAGTGGTTCTTTGCTAGGAACTACGATTATCTCGATGGCGCTGCATATCCTAGCAATAGCAATAGCATTATTGCAAATACTGATTAACTTAAACTGGCTTGCCTGTTTTGTCATTCTGCTGAGCACATAGGAAGATTGTGGAATAAGATTGACAACTAATTGTGTTCATTCAGTACAACACTGATTTGGTACAATGAGAACACGCAATGGGGTGCACAAGCGCTTGTACTCTGTTGGCAATATGACTGCAGCGATTCATCCTGTTCTGTCTGTCAATTTGTCAAACCTCACCACAAATACCCGCGGCGCTTCGCAAAACGCGCGAAGCATGTTGCCTCACATTTTGGGAATGCGGTTCGAAACAAATTGGACCCACACCCAGCCAGCCAGTCTGATCCTTCTCAAAGCCAGGCAAAGCCTGGTGTGAAGAACTCCAAGATGATGCTGACAAATCGAAACCAATTGTTTCCACCCTGTGACACGCGTGGCCGTTAGATGAACTTCTGAGCACCACCTTTGATCTCACTTCCACGAGGAAGTCCAACAGGATTTTTGACGACCTGCCATGGTGCCTTGACCTACATCCTACTATCTGTGTTTGTGCCTACCACTGATCTTGCTCCCATGAGGAAGTCCAAAGAGTTCAGCAGAGACCTGCTACGAAGCCTCGACCTCCTTCCCATCTGTGCTTCTGTCTTCCAAGTCACGGAAAGCAGCACTAGGTCCGTCAACAAGCTGTGAGCAAGGCAACGCTGAGCTGGTTGTTGGCTTATCGAGAGCTTCCGCACGAAGCTAATTCCGAAACAAGCCGCTGTACGAGTCTGAAACAGGATGTGGCGTGGTTATTCTAGTCTCGTTCTCCTCTCCCTCAGTTTTGTAGTTATTCTCCAGCTCATCACTCATGGAGTCCTCGCGACTACAACTGTAGAGCTTCCGACTATCGACCCTTCAAAGTTCAAGCCGGCATCCATCCCGTTAGCTCCGCTAACCCTAAAATTCGACAGCGAGAACCGTCTCGCTCTCGCAGAACGAAGGTGCGCAGGCATACAACGAAGCAGCTACTTTTAAGACATTCCGATACCAGCACATCTAGCAGCAACATTCAGCAGTCGAAGGACCAATTCTTGTTTTCCGAGCGCTTTTGCCCAGGACATAAGTTTAGAACCAGTGCTTTCGGGGATCTCACAACCTTACCGCTGTACCCGTGCCAACATTTCATTTATTCGCCGTTGCTCGTGGCAAGCTGACGGGCCTGCTTACATGGCATGGAAAACAACTGCATTTAGAATCAGTCCATCAATTTACCCGAGCATGTTCCATTGCGCCCCTCAGGTACACAGGACAGGCAACCGGACCCGAGAGTCTGTCATGGGACGGAACTGGGCGCGGTCCGTACGCATCAGTGAGCGACGGCCGGGTTGTGCGGCGGTCCAAAGACAACGTGCGATGGGAGACATTCGCGTGGGCTTCCCCCAAGTGGTGAGCCCCGCAGAAACTCGGAGAATCTGCTTTGGCTTAAAATCAACGCTCTCTTTGAAAAGCTTTCCCCGCGTGGTGAGCACAGCAGAGTCGTGGCAGGGTATCGTTGTGCTGTGATCTGGCACGTAATTTCGCAACGCAAGACGGGAACTTGCAAGACGACTTTTAAGATGTCAGAAAAATGCTGTGTTCGTGCACGTGATCTTGCAAGTGGTAAGTCGCTCTGCAGCGTACGCGTCAGTAAGAGACAACAGCATTGTAAGTCCCTCCCGAGACCCTCCCGAGACCCTCCCGAGACCCTCCCGAGACCCTCCCGAGACCCTCCCGCGCATAGTCTCCCCGTTCATGTTTGTCTCGGCTGCATTGTGAGACCCTCCCGAGACAACTTGCGCGGGGAGACTCTTGCATGGAAATTTCCAGCACGTTGACTCACCTCCTTGACACGTCCCCTCTCACTCACCACGCGTCCCTCTCACCATGTTTCCCCCTTACCATGCACCCCCTTTCCCCAGGTCCAAGGCGCGGTGTCAGGGCAACAACAGCAGTACCACCACCAACAGCAGCATGGAGCCCGTATGCGGGCGGCCTCTGGGGATGCGCTTCCACCCAGTCACGGGCGACCTGTACTTCGCAGACGCCTACTTTGGTCTGCACCGCGTGGGGCCAGGCGGAGGCAAGGCGGAGAAGCTGGTTGACGTGGTGGAGGGGAAGCGCATGCTGATGACCAACGACCTGGATGTTGACGCGGATGGGAAGAATGGCGTGGTCTATTTCACTGATGGGAGCACCCGGTGGCAAAGAAAGTGAGTACACATGCACGTCTTATTCCACTGACTTGGAATGTGGTGGAGCGGAAGCGCATGCTGATGACCAACGACCTTGATGTTGCCGCGGATGGGCGGAACGGGGTGGTCTATTTCACGGATGGCAGCACCCGGTGGCAAAGAAAGTGAGTTGTCTTGCACTGCACGTTTCATTTCACTGGCTTGAGATGTGGTGGAGGGGAAGCGGATGCTGATAACCAACGACCTTGATGTTGACGCGGATGGGAAGAATGGAGTGGTTTATTTCACTGATGGCAGCAGCCGCTGGCAAAGAAAGTGAGTTGTCTTGCACCTGAATGGGCGGAACGACCAAGTGAGTGCAGAACCAGTGAGTGCAGAGCAAGTGAGTGCAAAATCGTTAGGATTTCGAATCACGTGGAGGGAGAGAGCTTTGTTTGGGCGGCACGGCATGGCACATGGTGGACGGGCAACCGGAGGGGAGGCTGATGCAGCACGGCATCGCAACGGGGCCAGCCAAGGTGCTCGTGAAGGCTGTGGCATTCTGCAAACCCTCTCTGCTCTCTGTGATCCCCCATCCACCCTCTAACCCTCTCCTCTGTATCCTCTGTAGCACAACTTCCCCGCTATGACCCTCCACCTCCCTTTACCCCGTCGTCTCCCCACCACGTAACCCTACCCTCATTGAATCTCCCTTCTGCAGGGACTTCTGCCATATGATTAGGCGAGCAGCAGTCTAAAAGAATTCTGCAGGGACTTCTGCCGTATGATTAGGCGAGCAGCAGTCTAAAAGAATTCTGCAGGGACTTCTTCCTTTTGAGACGTCTCAAAAGTCATCTCCCTTCTGCAGGGACTTCGTCCTGGCGACTCTGGAAGGGCAGCCGGACGGGCGGCTGATGCGGTACAACAGTGCAACGGGGGCAAGCAAGGCGCTCGTGAAGGGAGTGGCGTTTTGCGAACCCCTTGACCCTCCATCCACCCTCTAACCCTCTAGTCTGTAGCACAGCTCCCTCCGGAAACCCTCAGTAACGCTGTACTTCCGTTTTGAGGCGCCTCAAAACTGGACTCCCAGGAACCCTCCATCCACCCTCTAACCCTCTCGTCTGTAGCACAGCTCCCTCCGGAAACCCTTAATCACCCTGTGCTTCCCCCCCTTCCATTACACCCCACGATATTGCAACAGGGAGTGGCGTTCCGCTAACCCTCTCTCCCACCCTTAAATCTGCTGTCTGTGTGTCCTACCTCTCTAGGGACTTCTTCCTGGCGACACTGGAAGGGCAGCCGGACGGGAGGTTCATGCAATACGACATTGCAACAGGGCAGACCAAGGTGCTGGTGAAGGGAGTGGCGTTCGCCAATGGCGTTGCGATCTCCCGCGATCGCACCTTTGTGGTCTTCTGTGAAACCAGCTACATGCGGTGAGTGAGTGTGATCTCAGCTACATGCGGTGAGTGAGTGTGATCTCAGCTACATGCGGTGAGTGAGTGTGATCTCAGCTACATGCGGTGAGTGAGTGTGATCTCAGCTACATGCGGTGAGTGAGTGTGATCTCAGCTACATGCGGTGAGTGAGTGTGAACTCAGCTACATGCGGTGAGTGAGTGTGAACTCAGCTACATGTGGTGAGTGAGTGTGAACTCAGCTACAGAGGCAATTAATGATGATTGTGACTGTGTTGTTGAGGCGTTCGCCAATGGCGTTGCGATCTCCCGCGACCGCACGTTCGTGGTCTTCTGTGAATACAGCTACATGCGGTGAGTCACTGTGCTTGTGAAACTGGCTACGTGAGGTGAGTGGCTGTGACTGTAACTGTGACTGTGACTGTGACTGTGACTACTTTTGAGGCGCCTCAGAAGTGGCGTTGCACTCTCCCGCGACCGCACGTTCGTGGTCTTCTGCGAGACCAGCTACATGCGGTGAGTTGACCGACTTTCTTTCTTCTTCTTTGCCTAGCTTTAAGTAATGCTACATGCGGTGACTGGTGATATCTTCTCCTGTAATGCTTGCTCCATGGCCTGGCCTTCTCTGCTCAAGGAGGGAAAAATGCTACAAGGTCCATGATCTCCTGCTATGTCCCTTCATGTTCCAATGCCCCACTGATCCTCTCTCACTTCATCTCTCAATCGCATTTCAATGCTGCGCCAACCTTTGATCCATGGCAGGTGTCATCGGTACTTCATCCGAGGGCCAAAGATGGGCAAGGCAGAAATGTTTGTGAACCTGCCCGGGTATCCTGACAACGTGAGCCCCAACCCTAGGGGAAGATTCTGGATCGCAATCAACTCGAGACGCACTCCCATGTCCGGTACATAGCAGCTCGCCGCCCATGCACCTGTCTTGTGAGGGAGCTTTTGAGGTGCATTAAAACGCACCTGAGCTGTGAGTGGGAGCCTCAACCGTGCTTGTCTCACTCTTTCCTCTTACAGAGGTCCTGGCAAGGAGCCCCTAAGCGCTATACAGGCTTTTGAACGACCCAGTGGGGCTCCAGGCAGCCTATGTGTTGCCCTGTGCACAATCACCTTACCCTTCTCCTCTCCGTGCGCATCCCACTCGTTCCTCTTACAGAGGTCCTGGCAAGGAGCCCCTATGCGCGCTACAGGCTTTTGAACGACCCAGTGGGGCTGCAGGCTGCCTACGTGGCAGCGGTGGGGCTGTCACACGGGATTATTGTGGAGGTTGACAATAACGGGGTGATCACAGACGTGCTGGAGGATAAGCTGGGGCGGAATGTGGCAGCAGCTAGTGAGGTTGTGGAGAAGAAGGGGAAGCTGTGGATTGGGTCTGTGATGGTGGATGACGTGGCAGTGTTGAGATACTCTCCTCCGAACAACACTGCTTTGAACAAGAAAGCCTGATAGGATGTGTTTATAGAGTAAAAGGAGGAAAATCGGTCTGATCAGCGTTGGCCAGCAACCAGGCCAAAAATAAGATAAAAATATAAATATAATTCAGTGTTGATAGTGTACATTGAAGCAGCAAGATCGATGCCTGCTAGCGAGCATATTGAGGTAACTACATGTCAAGAATGAAAGTGTTGGTTTCACTAAGGTTGGTTGGGGTACATAAACCTAACCCTAACAGGTGTACCCCTTACAACACACATCACTAAGACTACAACATTTGACACACCCCCATAGTCTAAGTGAGGGGTGTCAAGCAAAACCAAAAGTGTACGGTCACAAGACCAGCACAAAGAAACAAAGCTCAGGGTGGATCACAAAGTCACCACACACTCCGAGCACAAGCAAAAGAACCACAATGCTAGTTCAAGAGTTCACATAGGTATGTATAAAGAGTATAAACAAAGCAAGGATAGAACTCAAGACTATGCAAGGCGAAAACATGTGTCAACAAGACCTAACTGCATACAACACCTCTGGTGGTCACAAGGCGGCAGGGCCTTGGTGAAGATGACTGCAGTGTTGGCCTCGGACTCAACAAAGTCGAAACGAGCCTGTCCACGCCTCTGCAACTCTCGCAGAAGAAAGTACCTGACGTTAATGTGCTTCACTCTGCTCTCCAGTCGCGGCTCTCGACAGAGGAGAATCGTCGCCTTGTTATCGGTGAACAAGGTCGGCGCAGAGCTCGGCCGCTCACTAAGGTTAGTGAGCAAGAACGTCAGCCAGCGCAGCCCCTGTGCAGCCATAGCTCCAGCGTAGATCTCGGCCTCAGCAGTAGAGGTCGAGACCGAGGAGGAACGTGTGGACCTCCATGAAATAGCTCCAGAGCCCAGGCTGAAACAGTACCCCTGAGTAGACCTGTGCGTCTCGGCGTCGTCAGCGTAAGAAGAGCCACAGTGACCAGTAAGCACGACAACCTGTCTCCCTCCAAGAACCAGCCCCACGCCTGATGTCGTCGCTAGGTACTTCGCCACCCTCACAGCATCTGTCTAGTGAAATGGACGGTGTCTCCCTGGCGCAACAAAGCGAGCAAGGATGCTGAGAGGGAAGGCGAGGTCCAGGCGAGTACAAGTCATCAGGTACATGAGGCACCCCACAAGCTCTGCATAAGGACCACAAGGCTCAAACGGCTCTTCAGGAAAGGGTCCGCTGAGTCTGTGGTCAATGGCAAGAGTTGTGCACTATACAGTAGAGAGCTGAAGCTCCAAACCGCTGAAGGACCTACTGCACCATGTGTGACTGTGAGAGTGCAATGGTGCGAGCAGCTATGTCCCTGTTGATCTGCAGGCCAAGGTAGTGGCGCAGCTCACCAAGGTCAGTGCAAGTGTGTCTCTTCTGCAGTTCGAGCTTCACGTCAGCCAAAGCAACCTTGTCAGCAGTAGCGAAAACCAGGTCGTCGACGTAGACCAGTACAAAGAACGGTATGGAGCCACGACGAGCGAACAGCGACGGGTCGGCAGAAGAAGGCTGGAAACCAAGGTCTGAAAGGGTAGAGCGAAGGGTGTCGTGCCACTCATGAGGAGCGTGACGGAGACCGTAGACCAGTCGCCTAAGCCTCCAATGGGTCCCAGGAGGGAAAGTGTCAGTGAAGGCATAGGGACGACGTAACCAGACCTCCTCGTGTAGGCTACCCTGAAGGAAAGCAGTGGAGTAGTCAAGAGAGTGTAACTCGTAGTCTCTCTGTGCTGCTATGTGCAGTAATACCCGAAGAGTGGTGATCTTCGGGGTAGGCACGAAGGTCTGAAAGAAGTCAACTCCCTCGCGCTGACTGAAACCTCTAGCCACATAGCGCGCCTTGAAGACCGGAGGAGATCCCGGTGGCCGCTTCACCCCGAAGATCCACATGCCATCGACTACGTTCGCCCCAAGAGGGGGAACCTCGTCGACATAGGTGCCTGTGGATCTGTAGGAAGCCATCTCTGAGTCCATGGCAGCTCTCCACTGAGAGACCCAAGGTCCTGACACTGCCTCAGCGTAAGTACGAGGAGTCGGTATGTCAAGGGCGTCGGGGTCTCCCTCAGGGACGAGCAGCATGGCACAGATATGAGGGGGAGCGACTGCCAAGAACTCCAGCTCAAACTGTCTGTCCTCTAGGGCGTCACAGCCAAGGGCAGACTCACCCGGCAGACATTTCTGCGCGTTCCACCCGGCTTTCTTCACATCAGCCACGAAGAACATGTCCTGCGCCGTGTCCACGTATGTCACTCCCGCCGCGTTGCGCGACGCTGCCTGCTTCGCGATGTCCGCGGTGATGTCGGTCATGAGCCCGTCGTCCTTCTTGCTGCTCTGGTCGGGCTCAGGGCTGATTTTGTCAGGGTAATTACCCTGATTTCAGGGTGATTACAGGCTTCTCAACTGCTGGGCCCTGCAATTTCAGATTTTTTAACTTGTGAACTCTGATCCAATCAGAAAATTTACTTAACGAACCCTGAAATCTTATAACTAGACTCAAAGTAGTGTACTTGCGGACTATGTCTATGCAGAGTATGCTTTCGGTGGACCCTGAATGCGAGGGTATCGGGACGAAGGTTCCTCGAAGTTTCCTTTCGATAACCCCCCCCCTGTGCGTAATCATTACTTCGCGTGGCCCCATGTGAGGTACCCCGTTCACGCGCTGGACTGACGTAATAACGACACCGAATTCCAACACCGTGCTGTAAAGACAGCTGTCAACAGTGACAACGCACCCAAATCTATGATACGTTGCTGCCACGCGCACCTCGCAGTGCACAGCATGCCTCTGCCATTCGCCAGAACGGCATGTTGACAGTATGCGTTGGCAGCTAAGCAGTCCTTGAATGAATTCGGCCTTGCATCTACGGCTGAATTCATTGACGAATGTTGCCATCAACCTTGTGGCATCGCGCCGCGGTGGTTTCGTGATGACCCCGCCATCTCCAACCTTCCTTTCCTTCCCCCTACCCAGAGCCAGGCTTCCTTCGCTTCCTGCTTTTCGTTCAGTATCACACTTTCCTCTCGCTCCATCTTTCCCCTAGCTCGCCGCCATGGAGGCCCTGCCGGCCGACGAAGATGCTCCTCAGACTGGCCCTGACGAGCCACCTTTACCGGCGAAACCGACAGCGCAAGCCTTGCCGGGGAAAGCATCAGATGATCCCCGGTCTGGGCTCGATTTTCTTAGAGCTACCGGTGCTCCGGTGACACCAGAATCTCCTAGGTCTACGGTTCATGACTCTGCTGCTAGAGTAACCCCTACTCCTTCTGATTCTCCACATCCTGTCGCCTTCACTCTACCCCCGGCTGTTGCTTCTTGCAGCAAAGATCCCCCACCGCCATCGCCTAGCCCCACTCCAAGCACGGTGCGTGTGTCTGTTGGCCCGCCGTCAGCTTCTTCCACTCCCAAGCGAGCGCGAAATGGGAAGTGGGCGCAGAGTACTCTGGTCGTCGGAGGCCGCCGTATTCCACCGCCTGACAATGACAAGCCGGCAGATCCTCCACCGAAAGAAGCTGAGCAACCGGAGGAAGTTGACATCCCTGTGCGCGCGGATACCGGCTCGCCCGCACTCACCAAGATGCAGCTGCGAGAGCAGGTGTACCTTGAGGCGAGTATTAACTACGAGACGAAGTGGTCGCAACACTTTTCCTGGCTGGTGTTTGGGAAGACCAAGGACGGTTTTCCATACGTGAAGTGCTCCATCTGCATGTCGTACGCGAAGGGGAACACGAGGTACGCCATGCAAGGTGACGACGGTGGCCGTGACTTGCAGATGCAGTCTTTCAGGGCGCACGAGCATACGGACGCACACAAGGCGGCGGTGGATCGGCAGTTGAAGCTTGCGGCGGGCATCCGCGAGGGCCAGCAGGCGATTTTTGACTTCATCAACTCCGACGTCAAGGGGCGGCGCGCGATTCGTCTCATGCGGTCTACGCAGTTCCTGTGCCAGTGCGACGCGCCGATTAGCATGTTTCCGAAGCTGATGCGGCATCTTGCGGAGCAGGACACGCCAGACATTCCTCGACAATCTTACGGCGTGTATCTCACACGGTATTTAATCTTACCGTTAGATTGCAGCTGGACATATGTGACGTGTGGTTTTTTTATTACGATCCTGACCATTTTATTCTCCTCTGTGCAGATACGGGTTCCAACAAATGGTTCACAGCATCAGTACATACCTCACTCGGGTCCAGATGGACCACATCCTGGCATCCCCCTTCCTGGGCATTCAGTGCGACGAGAGCACAGACCGAACGCGAGGGAAACACATGATTGTGTACCTTACGTTTTTGAAGAATCGCCAAATCGCATGCGAGTTCTTTACATTGTTGACGGTTGAGCGGTGTGATGCAGGGTCTCTGTTCGAGGTGCTTCTGAACCATCTCCGCTCCGCAGCCGTCGATGTGTCCAAGATCGTCGGCATCAGCACGGATGGGGCGTCGGTCATGACCGGGAAAGAAAACGGATTGGTGGCGCGTCTTCGGGAACACGTTCCGCACCTGTTTTCATGCCACTGCATCGCCCACCGGTGTGTATCAAGTTTCCTAGTTGGTGTGGTTTTCTACGTATAAGATTAACCAATTACCTCTTGATTTGTATTCCCTGCATCCTACAGTGAGGCGTTGGCTGTGAAGGACGCCGCTGAGTCAAACGAGGACCTTGGCATGGTCGACAAGGTGGTGCGCACAGTGGCGACGCTTCTCGGAAACTCAAGCGTGTGGAGTCAGCGCTTCAAGTACCTTCAGCGAGTGATCTACCAGACAAACCTCGAGGTCCAAGGAATCCACACGGTTCGATGGCTGTCACGAGGTGATGCGGTGCGCAGGCTGTGCAAGGTCCTCGGCGCTTGCATCGTGCTGCTCTGGGAGCACAACCACAAGGCCTACGAGATTGTGACGTGCTACAAGTTCCAGTTCTGATTGTTTTTCCTGGCCGACATTGTGACCGACATGAACGACCTCAACCGCTGCTTCCAGAGGCGTGAGGTGAGATTGAATGCTAGTATAATGTTGAGATGGGAAGTGTAATCCTACACTTTTGCTAATCCTACTCCCTGTTGTTGATTGCATGTGTGACAGCTGGATGTGACTGAGATTTCGAAGACTATTGAGTCCACCACGGGTGACCTGACGGAGCGCTACTTGACGACAAACAAACCGTTCGTGGGCGAGGGGAAGAGCTGGCTGGTAAACTTCCTCAAGGTCCACAAGGAGGGTGGAGGCAAGCAGGTCCGGGTTCGAGGCGTGGACGGAGAGGGACGCCCAATCAACCACCTCTACACCATGCATGAGAGGAAGCTGAAGGGCCACAAGCAGGGAAGCACCTACGCGGACTGCGTGAAGCTGTGCCGCCAATTTGCCCGCGACTGCGTGGACAACCTGAACGAACGGCTGGATGACCTTGGGAAGCTGGGCCCGACGAAGCTGTTCCGGGCGGGGAAGTGGCCGAAGATCAAGGCCCAGCGAGAGAAGAAGTGCAAGGAGTGGCTGCTCGGATGCAGCAAGCTCTTCCGCCACAAGCTGCCGGGATTCGACCTCAAAGCAGCAGAGAGGGAGCTCTCGACATTCTGCGCGATCATGGAGTCACACCATGAGATGGAGAGCTTCGCCCAGGGCCTTAACAACTTTCTTGGGAGCGTAGACTCAAAGAGGTAGGCCGCTGCATGCGTACGAGTTTTTTACCTATTTGATTTTTATGTTGGTGATTATTAACATGTTGAATTCCAACTTGTTGATTTATTAACTTGTTGATACTTTTACATGTTTTGTTGTGTTTCGAATGTGCCTGGCAGGAGATGGCCCAACCTCATCCTGCTGTGGCAGGCGCTGGTTGTGCTTCCCCTCTCCACCGTGGAGTGCGAGAGGGGGTTCTCCAGGCAGAACATCATCAAATCCTGGGTGCGTGGAGCGCTCTGCAACGCGCGTCTGGGGGAGCTGATGCAGATATCGCTCCTGAAGTACGAGATCGAATGGCCGGAGGCACTGGAGGTGTGGAGGTCCATGCGGAGGAGGCGCCCTGTGAAGAGCCTGAAGCTGGCCGTGGCAGAGAGGGAGAGGAAGGGGAAGCAGAAGGAGGGTGAAGCTTGGCTGCTGGAACTGCGGGGGAGAACGAGGACGAGGGGGAGGAGGAGGAGGAGGAGGATGAAGTGGAACAGGACTTGGGCGACGATCAGGAGGTCGTGGAAGAGGAGGACAACTCTTTCCTGTCAGACGATGAGGACGTAGAGGAGGTGTACTTCATTGACAAACCCGTGCACTAGATAGTGTAGGAAAGTTGAAGTTGTTGTATCAGTCATTTTGAAGTGTAGTGCAATGTTAATAGCAACCCTGATTTTGAGCTGTGAACCCTGACGGATCAGACTAGGACTTTGTTCGACACTGAGCTATCAGGGTAGCTTCCCTGTGAAAAATGTGCGATCATAATAGAGGGGGAATTTTTTTCCGGGAATCAGGGAGGCCTAAAACGAAACGTCAGCCCTGGTCGGGCTTCTCGTCCGCCGTCGAGCTTGTGATGAGGCTGCCGGCGCGGGCCGCCACGAGTAGCAGCGCCAGAGAGAGCGCGAAAAGTGCAGCTCGAGCCATTCTGACACTCGTGAAAATTAAATAAGGGGTACGATACTCTATATTATGGGGTGCGAAATGGTGAATGTATTGCTTACCCAATGGATGTAAATACTCAATTTGTGTCCCGTGCTGCTACGTTGCTGATTTGGTCTAACACTGCAATGATTGGCCTTTTCCATGTACAGGACGGATTGGGTTGGAGTAGGTGCTTCGTCCCTGTCTTCGACTTATCGCTGCGCGCCTTCACGGAGCTGTTCGGTGTGGCTCAAATCACGAATCGCAGGGTGAAAGCTGGACGAGTCAGACATCTGGTTATGAGGGTGCATTCCTGGTTCGTGGCAGGGCCACTGTTCATGCTACTGTTGGTGGCAAGCGTGGTGTGCGCTTGCCACCAACTTTCGTTCCGAATCGCGCGCGCCTCGAAGTTGGTGGCAGCTCAAAAACATTGTGCGACAGATACACGCGAAACCACTGAACCAATCACAACAACACAAACACAGTGCACAAATCGGTCAACCGGCTGCATGCCAAGTCACAGCGCATCAACCAACCAGCCATTGCAAGCAATCGAAACTTGTAAACAAGCTGCGCGGTTTGACATGTTAACAACTCGCTCCTGAAACCAAAGACGATAAACTGTAAACTGTGCTGACCAGTACAGCTCGCGATGTGGTAATGGTCGCACCGCAACAACTTCCCAGGCATGCGTCGTTGCAGGCACGGTTATAGAGCACTGGGAGCAGCACCACACAACCACACCTCGTAAAGGATCCAGCCATGCCGCAAAGGCTGGGTCTTCTCCTTGTGATAGCCCTCGCTGTCTTGTTTGATTTCTATAGACAGCACTTCCACCTCCTGGCCGCTAGCGCGGCTGTGCAGTGGATCACCATGCAGGGCGTCGCTGCAGACTCCGACTCCGAGCTTCGCGCAAAGCGGGAGCGCCTCCAGCGTGCACGTAAAGCGCGCCGTGCCCGCCGTATCTCGGAATGGATGGACGACCTGCAGGTGATGGAGGACGACGACTTCATCAACATGTTCCGCATATCGCGAGAGGTGTTGGCGGGGATCACTCCCGCGATGGCTCACCCTATGAGCCATTTCGTGGATCGTTACGGCATCCCGGTGGAGATGTGCTGCTTGATTCCGATCAAGTATTTCGCCTCTGCAATGCCGTACATAGACATGGCAATCTATTTCGGCACTCCTAAGACCATTCTGCACAAGATTGTCGATGCTTTCCTCTTGCATTTCCCTCGGCGGTTCAAACTAACGTGGGTGCGCTTCCCAACACATGACGAGATGGAGGACATGGCTACGGACTTTAAAGTTGTTAGGGGGCTGCCAAACGTCATAGGCGCTATTGACGGAACCCACATTGAGATCAAGGGATTGGAGAATCACCGGCAGGAGTATTACAACCGCAAAGGCGTCTATTCCACGCAGCTACAAGTTACTTGTGACAGCAAAGGCTACATCTGGGACTATATTGTCGGGCATCCTGGCTCCATGCACGACCAGGGCGTCTTCCAGCAGTCTGACCTGCACACACGACTCGAGCGAGGGGACATTGCGCCGTTCCAGATTGTGGGTGATGCAGCATACCCACTCCGCGACTACTGCCTCACACCCGTCAACGCCTCGCGCAGACGCCTCATGAAAAGCTGGGAGCAGACGTACAACTACGTCCACTCCGCAACCCGCATGGTGGTGGAGCGGACATTCGGCGCACTCAAACAGAGGTGGCGGCTCTTCAGCAAGCGCCACGAATGCAAGCTCACCCGCGTCTGCGCCGGAACCGCCTGCATTATAATATTGCACAACATGATCCTGCACCATGACCAGCCATGGAGGGGGACAGAAGACTTAAACAACTGGAGGGAGTGGACGGGCATCGGCCCGCCGTGGTACCACCGGAGCGGCATGCTTGCGTACAGGTGGCAGCCGGCTGCTTCAGCAACCCAGGCAAGTTATCGTGCGCGCCGTAAGCATTTCGGCAAACACATGCATAGAGCTTACCGCAGGAGGCACCGCCCCTGGCGCAATGACCGCGCCGACGGCTAGCGAGAATGCATGTCATCCGGCGACGCCCCCTCATCTTCTTCGGGCGCATCTGCCAGCTCCCTCTCAACCAATGCCGCATTCACCAAGTTGCCCGCGTCGTTGGCGATGGCAGGTGGTTGTGCAGGTGCAGGTACCGTCGCCGGTAGAGGCGGTGTTGGAGGGGGTCGCCACATCGCCGCCGCCATGTGTATCGCGGCGATGAGCAGCTGCACGGCGTCGCTCAGCTGCCTCATGGCTTGCCCGTTGCACGCATTCAGCGTGTCAAAAATCACCCTGGCGGCCGCCATGGTTGCCGTCTCGTTCACGCGTGAACGCCTTGCCGGAACGGGGCTGGGCGTGGCTGGGAAGGGGGGGGGGGGGGGGGGGGGCGGGAGGTAGACACTTGTTGGAAGTGAAGGTTGTATGTATCTTGTTGCTGCATTGACATGCCCGTACTGTGCGAAATATACACCTCTGCGACTATCGCCCTAAGGCGGAAACACAACACCTCTGCGACTATCGCCCTAAGGCGGAAACACAACACCTTTCAGACACATTCTCGTATATTACCAATGGGGCCTGATGACCAGCTGTTACCATCAATGGCGACCGCGCGACGAGGTGCACGTTGCAGACCACGGGTCACTGGGGTTGTGGTACCTCCCTCTGGCATATCGGCGTCAAGCTGGAGCGGGGCTTGCGGGTCGACGTGGGTTTCACCAGCTCCTCCGCCTTCGACCACGTGAGGCTTGACATTTGCAGGGATGCGTTTGAGCAGGTATACGTACTCAAACCAGGGCTTCTTTCTCTTCGGTTTCCGCCCGCTTGTCCCGTTGTTGCGCAGCGTGTCACGGTACTCCGCCTCCATGCGTTTCCAAGCGTGTTGCATGGCAGTGCTGTTGCGCGTCCACTTGGTGCCGCTCTTTTTCATGTGCGCGCGCAACTTCTTCCAATACTGGTTGCCCTGCTTACCCCGCATCTGCTTCAGATCTTCCCGCGTGTACCATTTCGCCGCGGCCAATGCCGTTAGCTCTTCGTCGGTCCACTGGCGCTTAGTCTTGGAGCTGCGCTTCCTCTTGCCATTACTAGGTCCGGCCTCCGAGGCATCCGGCCCCGACGCCGACTCGTCTTCGTCGCTTCCAGAAGCGGCTTTTGAGTTGTCGCTGTCGCTATCGCTGCCGTTGGATGACACAATCTCTTCCAGCTCGTCGGACGAGATGTCAGTGTCCCCTCCGTCCGAGCTGTCAGCGCCGTCAGCCCGCGCTGAACCTGGTCCAGGACCGTCGCGCCGAGGAGCGTGTTCGTGCTTGATTTTCCCTCGGTTTCTACCACGCTCTTGCTCTTCTTTCATCCACTGAACGTATGGTGGATCCTCCCAGGGCTTGTCATCATCGGCCTTTTCCTTCCCCTTTCTGCTCGGTTTCTGTTTCTTTGGTGGCATGGTGTGAGATCGCTATGGGTCTATGCTTGCGTGTTGAACGGGTAGAGATGGAGTAGTGTGACGAGAGAGTACTACTATATTTTACGTTTCATCTGCATTAGGTCGATGAAGGGGATGGTGCTCAACCCGATCTGAACTGGCTGCGCGGGAGATGGATTTCCAATTTCGTGGGTTTGGCGCCGGGAATTTTACCGGCCAAGTCAACCCTCGCTCTTGTACGTGCGACCCAGGTGGCGGTGTACAAATCGTATTTCGTGGCGGGCGATGTGGTGTTGGGAGTAGGGCCACTGTGCCAATATTTTCGCGCTCCCAATCAGCGTGCATCTGGATGGCGGGTGTATTCTGCCATCAACCTGGTGTGGTATGAGTACGTGGCAGGCGCTAAACACGGCTGCCATCTACAGTTGCCCTGCCACGAACCAGGAATGCACCCTGATACCTGCGAACCCGCTGAATGGAGATGCAGAAACATCTGGTACGTGGATGCCAACAACTAAGTACTGTGCCAGGTAACCATGTTTTGATTGCATGTACATGACAGAAGTTTTTCATCCCAGCATCTCCAAGACGGAAATCATGAAGTAAGGTTTTTCCCGCTAAATTGCGTATATAGATAAAGAATTTCATACACGACCCCGCATTGTTTTGTGTGTGCTGCCCGGGGCTCGACACATCTGATTAGTCACATTTGTGCTCTCCCTGACCACGATGCATCACCTGGACATGGGTTGGCTTTTGAGTCGACCCAAAAGAGGTGGCTTTTGAGTGCACGCAGAAGAGGTTGCGGTGCGGAGAGGAAGCTGTGGTTTGGGTCGACGTGTGAACAACACTGCCTCGAAGAAGAATGTGCCATTTTCGACGGCATTCAACCTATGCCAGTGCGATTATGCAGATGCATACAATAGACGGCCGTATGGGAAAGAGGCTGACGGACTGTTATCTGTCCGCGATCAGAAAAAATAAACCCCACCTGGATGGCATGCGACTTGGGGAGCCTCAACCCTAAACATGGGTAACCGCCTGGTTTTGCCGGCAGGCCGACATATTCCCCTGAACCGTCTATTGCATGCATTTGTAAACTTGGACTAGCAAAATCTGCATGCATTAGGTAAACCCGAAGAAGAATTCCAAATTGAGGAGGTGGTTTGGCGAGGCGGCTCGGCGCTGTGTAATTTCTGTCAAAACTTCTGTTTAGTCGTCCGTTCGGTAAACGGACGGTGCCTCATACCCTTTCAGTACAGTTGGAAGCGAGAAATGTTCCACGCCATTACGGAACACATGCAACGTCGTATGGTTACGGGCGAAAAACAACGAGAAACCACGGAAACTCTTGCCAAACAAATTTCGTCTACAGTCAATGATTGTGTCAATGTCGAGGCAATATGGTGACACGCACTTATGTGTAGGTTAACTAAAAGTCATGACAGATGGAGAGAAAGGGGGGCGGATGAATGCAATCGCTAGAGCTGCAGAGACCAGAGCCCCTCAATGAATATTTCTAATGTCATACAGCGAACGGCTGATAACAGGAGAGTAGGACTAGGATTTATGATCTGATGGACGGAATCTGAATGAATGGGAAGTTCAGAAATAATAATTAACAATGATGCATAGTAAACATCAAGGCAACAAGATTTGATGCCTGCTTGCTGCGATATAACTGGTATCACTAACTAAGTTCCAAATCAACCCCAGCCGACTATAAAATACATGTGGAATAGCCGAAACGTACTCAGCACTTTACGGGAACTCTTGCACGGGCATCACTTGTCTGGCGCGCCCGTACGCGGTATAAGCGCAGTCCACAGCAAGCACATCGCTCGCCTCGTACGAGCGCGGCGTGCCATCCAGGAACCCTTGTCCCTCCGCGCTGTCGGCGGAGATGGGACGGTGCAGGCTCGCGATCAGCTTCTGGAAGTCCGCGGCGCGCTGCGCGTGGTCGTCGCGGTACGTCTGCCCGAGCACGCCGTGGATCGCGTCGGTGTGCTCCAGCTCCGCAATCCCCACGTTGATGTGCGCCTCGGCGTCGCTCGGCGTCTGCAGCTTCGGGTGCGCCACGCGCAGGCGGAGGTCGAGCGAAATCAGGCCGTCGATCGTCAGCAGGTAGTAATCCACATCGAACGGCCCCTCCTTCTCCAGCCCGCGGAACTGGATCGTCAGCCCGCCGTCGCTCGTCACGCTGTCGCCCACCTGCATGCGTGGGATCGCCTCGCCGTCGATCTCGATGCTCTTCACGAACCCGTCGCCGCGCTCCTGCTGCTTGCCGCCGCGCGCCGCAATGCGAACCTTGTGGTCGACGCCCTTGGCGGTCCACACAATGCCGAGCTCCTTAATCCACGTGTGCACGGCCTTGCCGTCGACGACCAGGCCGCGTTGTCGGTGCGCTCGTCGTAGTACCCGCGCAGCAGCATGTTCACGTGCAGGTCGCGGTCCATCAGCAGGCAGAATGCCTTGTCGGGGCGGCCGTTGAAGTCGAAGTGCGTTGTCAAAACATATGCATAATTGTATCTAGGCTATATTGGGGCTAGCCTTAGGGGGTACACAAATAGTCGCGACACTCTAGTCTTGTACCCCAATCTTCACCTAATCACCACTTTTCTCGTTCCCTAGCTAGTGATTCTAACATGGTATTAAGAGCACAATGCTCCTTAGGACCGATTTTTTAAAAAGGGCCCACCACTACTATTTCGATCTACTGCCCGAGTCGCGCCCCTAGGAGAAATGCGAAATTCGAAACCGTGCTCTAGGCGAGACGGTTCCCTAGACGCGATTTTTTTTCCCTCCTAGTCACGTGCGACCCCCCCCCTGAACGCGTAGGCCCGTCGCGAAGCCCGTACAGCCCACGTAGGCCCGTCGCGAAGCCCGTACAGCCCGCGTAGGCCCGTCGCGAAGCCTGTACAGCCCGCGTAGACCCGTCGCGAAGCCCGTACAGCCCGCGCCAGGCCGTCGCGCAGCCCGTACAGCCCGCGCCAGGCCGTCGCGCAGCCCGTACAGCTCACGTCAGGCTCGCACCCAGCGCGTAAAGCCCGCGCCAGGCCCGCACGCAGCCCTTACAGCCCGCGACTGGCCCGCACGCGGCCCGTGTTACTGTTACTCACTGCTGCTGCTACTGAAACTAGTGCTACTGCTGCCACTGCTACTACGGCACTTGCTACAGCTACTCTTGTCTGAAACTACTCCAGCTACAGCTAGTGCTACTGCTGCAGCTCCTACTACTACACTTGCTACAGCTAGTGCTATTGCTGCAGCTCCTACTACTACACTTGCTACAGCTAGTGCTACTGCTGCAGCTCCTACTACTACACTTGCTACAGCTAGTGCTACTGCTGCAGCTCCTACTACTACACTTGCTACAGCTAGTGCTACTGCTGCAGCTCCTACTCCAGCGCTTACTGCAGCTGCTCCTGACTGAAGCTACTGCTGCTACAGCCCCTAAAGCAGCCGCCCCTGGTGCAGCCGCCCCTGGACCCTCGAGCAGCCGCCCCTGGCCCCTGAAGCAGCCACCCCTGGTGCAGCCGCCCCTGGACCCAGAGCAGCCGCTTTGCACGCCCTCGCGTGCCCCTAGCGTACCGGCCCCGCCCCACTAGCCCGCCCTTGCTGGCCTCGTGCGACCAGGCCCCGCCCTAGCTAGCTCGCCACCTCGTGCCCCGTGCGGACCGCCCCACTCTGCCCTGCACGCCCTCACGTGCCCCACCTCGAGTAGCCGCTGCCTAGCCGAGCCGAGCCGCCCCACCGAACCGCGTCACCCGGCCCGAGCCGCGCCGCCCTACCGAGCCGCGCCCCTGATTCTGTCACTGCTACTGTCACTACTGCTGTTTCTGCTACTACTACTGCTACTGCTCCTACTGTCACTATGGCTAGCCCTCCAGTGCTAGCTTTCGATGCTGAGGGCCGCCCAGTGAAGTTTGACACCTGGCTCGATGACCTGCACCTATTCCTACAACTCACTGCCAAGGAAGACATCTCACTGTACGATCACGCCTTAGGCCATGCCACTGCCCCTGCTGCTACTGCTGACAGCACTGCCCGCTCACAGTGGCAGACTCGTGACGCCCACGCTCGCTTTGCTATTCGCAACTCCCTGCCGATAGATGAGCGCGAGCACTTTGGCCAGCACAAGACTGCACAGGCACTGTACACCGCTGTCGTTGCCCGCTACTCCTCACCTGCCTCTGCCGCGCTAGGCCGTCTCTCACTCCCCTACCTGTTCCCCGACCTGGCCTCTTTCCACACAGTCGCTGACCTCATCACGCACCTCCGTACTAGTGAGGCCCGCTTCCGTGCCGCTATGCCCGATGAGTTTCTTGCCACGAACCCCCCCCCGCTCTGGCTCACTCTCTACCACCTAGTCACCCGCCTCCCTGACACTCTGCGTGCAGTCAGGGATCACTTCCTATCTCGCTGCCCCACTGAGCTCACCATTGCCCTCCTCGAGAAGGAACTACTTGCAGCTGAGGCTAGCATAGTCGCTGTCGGTGCCTCTCGTGGCGACCCCCGCACCCCTTTCTTTGAGGGGTGTTCCCCTTCCCCCCTTCTTCCCTCTGTAGCCTCTGCTTCTGCTGCCGACCTCCTTGGTGCTGAGAAGGTCGGGACTGCGTCCACTTCGAGCTGGCGCCGCAGCGGCAAGGGCAAAGGGGGCAAGGGAGGCGGAGGTGACGGCGGGGGAGGCGGTGGTGGGGGCGGTGGAGGCGGTGGGGGTGGTGGTGGGGCTGGAGGGACTAGTGGCAGCGGTGGGGGTGGTGGCGGCAGCGGCGGGGGAGGTGGCAGGGGCGGGGGCGATGGTGGGGGCGGCGGTGGTCGTGGCGGCGGCAGGGGAGGGGGTGGTCGAGGAGGTGGCGGCGGCGGTGGTGGTCGTGGAGGCGCTGGCAGTGGCCAGAGCCAGCAGCGCACTCCGTCGCCCCAGGAGCTCCGTGAGTGGTACTCTCAGCACGGGGGGGGGGGGGGTGGCCTTAGCTGCACGTACGTCATCCGCACTGGTGTGGGAGGGCGCACACCACGCA